GCGCCCCCCCCCCCCCAATCCGCCGTTTGATTTTTAAAAATCTACTTGTATTTTGTAAAACAAGCATGTGGTTAATTTTTTTTGTTTTTTTTGTTACCAGCATTAAACACAAATTGATAAGTAGATCTACACGTATGGTATGAGATATTCCGAAATATTATTTTACCGCCATGACAATGTATTCTAAAATTCCAGCAAGGTGACGATTGGTTTTCTAAATCAAAGGGGGGGGGCACATATTATAGTATACTATAGTATCTATAGATCCCCGGACCTTGCCAAGAATGTGCCCCAACCCCCATGAGGCTTCAACGCTGCTTCAGACAACCTGCCCTCAATACATCCCCCTCCCTCGTTATTAAATTCCTGAACCCGCAATCTATAAGGATCGAGTTTAGATAATGAAATAATATTATTTTGACAAATTTTGTATTGCTACAGTTGTGAGTGTTTTCGGCAATTTCTATGTAATTTTCTAAAAAAGAAACATTATGAAAAATCAACTATTTTTTGTGTCTGAATATAGATTAACAGTTCCCAATAGCAATTAACATTTTTCTTTACACAGACAAGTGAAGGCAATTTTAACATATGTGAATCCGCTGTATATTTAAGAAATAAAAACAAGCAAAATCATGCATAATTTTTTGACAAGAGACATGCTTTTCTCCTTCCGCTGCATACAATCGATATATTTAGCTCGATCACGACTTTTTCAGAATTAATTAAGTCATTTATTAGACATTAAATTGCTTTTCAAAAATTATCTGTGTTAAAACGAATGTATCAGACAAAATATTGTTAGGATTTAAAAGAATTTCAACCAAATTATCCATAAAATAATACATTAAATATGTCATAGGATATCAATATTGATACAAATGACATTCATAAGGGCTGGGAAGGTGGGGAGTGGTGTCCAGTCCATATCACCTTAGTGAAAATGGTACACATCAGATCAGGGGCTCGTTTCTCAAAAAGGCCTACGGCCAGTCGTAAGCTTAGTCCGGACTAAATCAGTGACTAAACCCGAGAATCGGACTAAGACGCGTTTCACAAAAAGGCGGAGACTTAGTCGAGACTAAATTTGGGTTTAAATCTAGGCCTGCTCGTGAGTAGGCGTAAGTGCTTAGTCTGTACACACATTGGAAAAAAGACACGTATTTTAATAATAAAATATTTAAAAGACTGATTATTTTATACGTATTTACGATATAATACCTATTCATATACATGTACATAATTTTATGATATGCCAAAAATCGTGAAAATTATTATATGTGCATGCTGTATTATGAAGGAAATTAGAAAGGTAGTTAAATCCACCGAAGATGCAGACTTTTTCCGCAAAAGGTGGAATGAACTAGACATTTTTAACTAAGAATTTTGAATACAAGTTTGGTAAGATTTTTTAAAGAGGTGCTAGAATTTCTTCGTAGAGGGGGGGGGGTCAACCCTACAATTTTTATTGCAGTTCTTCTGTTAAATAAAGCTGTATAATTTATGGACTGACTTCCACTTTCTGCATTTCTCTTCTTGGCTGAATATTTTGATCACTCATTTAACTGTACTTACCACCACCACCCTATTCCCTTCCCCATCAACTTTTTACAAACGATGCTACATGCTGTAGGTCTTGGATAATTTTTTTATTGTTTGAAATGGATAATGTTACAATGAAATCCTCAAACAATATCCATTTTTCATACTAAGTATTTTAGATAATGAGAAATATTCGGTAACTACATGTACATTGTATGTCATCAACCAAGTTAATATTAATTGTTCTTTAACTTAACTAAGATAATGTATCTTTGATTCTCCGCTTTAATTGTATGTAATTAAATATTATATTAATAGAGCATAAAATATTAAATTTGTAAAATGTTCCAGTGTTATTATTAAAGTATTCTATCCGTAAGACTTCTCATTCCTATTCACTGGAGTCACTATCGGGAGGTGAGATGTGTAGATGAGTCTATTATTTTTTCGTAAAGATGCTTTTGATTACTTGACAATCTTTCACGTTTCTTGGACGAAGTTTGCCTAAAAAGATTTTTTTTGGATAGATTTTTCAACAGAAAAATAATTTATATTTGAAACAAAACTACACATATAATAATGACAACAATAAAGAGTTGTAAAATATTTTTATTGTAAATGTAAATCGCGACTTTTTAATATCTTTAAGTCTAGATTACATTTTAAAAAACATTCTTCATCTATAAAAAAACAATTCTATAAACATATCGTCAATAGAAATTGAAAAGGAATGGATATACTAAAGGAAAAGATGGCGATGTTGAAATTAATACCTTTCCCGATCTCTAAATGAATCTGATTCGAAAATATTGAAATGGAAAATTGAAATGGAGACATTTATAAAAATTAATAGATTTGTTGTCTGTAATATGGTTCACAAGAATTATAGATTTAAAACTAATTTACCTTTTGCAAGTCATCAACTGAAATGCCACTATATCTAATTCGCATTGAAGAAATGGATTGATATTAAAAATTTAAGACATTTGATATTTTTCTTCAAAATTCTCTTATCCATGTTTTAATAATTATCATTATTATATGATTTTAAAATGGTTAAATTTTCACAGTATGCCGATGGGTCGGGGGCTCCGGTCCTTCACTCTCTCTCTGCGTAAAGTATTCTATCTAGAAAAAAAACTTACCTGAGATACTGCTTGTCCCTCCCCCCTTTCCACGTTCGACTTTCAAATATATTGCTACGAGCCCCAGTCCCATGCCATATATGGCTTTTACTCATAGAAAAAAAATTATTTTTATTCCAAATTTTCGCAAGCACGTATAATACCGGGTATACACGTTTTATATTTTTCTAAAGTATATATATATATACTTTTAAAATTTATCTGAGCATACCAAAATACATATATAACTATTTCTATTTAATATAACACTTGTGAATGTAGAGGGGGAGGGGTGTGTGTCCAAAATAATAACAAAAGATTTGCTCAATCATTTTTCAGGGAGGTAGCAAGGGGGGGGGGGGGGGCTGGTCCCCCACTTTTTTTGCCAACATTACTTTTACTATTGAAAATGTTCATTGAAAGGCTGGTTGACTCCCCCACTTTATACTAAAGTAAAGTAATATGAAGGAAGTATAGTATTGTAAGCTAACGACTTTGTGCAATTTTCCTTTTTTTTTTTGCATCTCAACTTTTTCTGGTAAGTAAAAAAAAATTTCTGTGGCTGCCCCCCCCTTTCAAATTCAATGCTATGTGCCTTTTTTTGTGTGACTGTGGGCCCCAAACCCGACCCCAATCTGCCCCATTGTCAAGATTTATGAATCCGCTACTACTAGCTTGTATGTAAATGCTTTGACCTTGAAAATACAGATAGATTCGTGTATTATATCTGTTTGAAAGACGCTGAAAAGTCTGGGAAAACATGCGAGCGGTTCATGCTTCTTGTGCTTTATTTTTTGTAATCAGGTTCAAGTATAGTATGATCCGCCACATATTATTGTAGCCTCTAAACCAAATAAATTACTATCTGCGCATGCTTAGTACCTAGCGGAAAGGTCTTAGTCTTATACCCAGTCTTACGCCGCTTTCTGAAACGCGATTTAGGCCCGACTAAAATATGGCGTAACTTTCTTAGTCGGACTAACTTAGGCTCAAATCTACGACTTTTTGAGAAACGAGCCCCAGAATTTTAAAGATGTCAACTTCCGTCTGCGATGAATATTCGTTCCGAAAAAATATGAAAGTACTTTATCGTTACTTCAAGAACAATGGTAATTCGGGAACGACAAACCTAACTCTGTAAAAAAAAAATGCACGCCGTAGTGACGGTGCACACGCGACACAAAATAACATTAGTTTCCGTATATTAATAACATACCTGTAACTGCAAAAGTGTCTCAATATGTATCTTATAAAAAGGTTAAATAAGAAAAGGGACTTGAACTAAGTTTTGATAGTTTTGTTATTCTGCATTTCGATTATTTGTATTTTGCTTCATTTTAATAGAAAAAAAAAATATATAGAAGGGGGGGTACTGATTATCAAGATGTACAATCATGACTACCAATGAACAAGTTTATATCAAGAATTTAATTTCAAACAAGAGACAGTCCTTTCCTATTTTCTGTTGATCTCCTCTCGACTTATTGACCGTTGGTCGATCGTTTACAGCCGACATCAGTGCAAGTGACTGCGCATTGCTTAGAAAACAAAACGCACCGACTTCTTCTATAGCTGAGGTGGATAAACTATGTAAATCATATACATAACATTTCAATATTTCATAAACTGTACGTTCATCTGAATGAATAAAGTTTCGTAGACTAACGTATTTGGTACAATCGTTTGTTAAAAAATTATAATATTTCTAAAATTATTTAACCATTTCAAACTATCAACGATGTATGATAAATTGAAAGATAGTTCAAAATGGATTACTGGAATATTTGCAGGATTAAGTAAATAGTTCTCGGTTAAAAGAATTTACAGATTTCATTTAACATAACGTTAAAATCAGTAACGTCATGATGACGTCGTTACGTCAAAAGTTGTAATTATAGAAGAAAATGCACCATTTTCCCAAACCTCTCGCAGAAAAACGGTAAGAGATAATTCCAAAAAATAAAATGATTTTGGGAGGACACATCGTTGGCATGTTTTTAAAAAACTTCCATCAGATTTAGAGACAGGGCCGCCTCGTTATACATACCGTACCCAGTTCTTTCATGTAGCATTTTATCATCTGAAAACCCGATATTTTAAATGCATGTACATGAATAATGGACGTTAAATGATTCTTTATGACATCATAAATGTACATGTTTGTGTAGTTTAGTGGTCACTGTAAATCCTAGCTATTCTACACTCTCTAACTTTATCACTCTGAATCACTGTTTGTCATGGTCACAATAATGATCAAAACGACATTTACAACGACAGTAATTAAGATGGAAAAACAGATGATTTTTTTCTTCCTCGTGGAACACTTTTGTTTTATTGCCTCCTGTACATGTAACTGCTGATTCCCACTCTGTACGTCCTCAACCACTAGTTCTATTTATTATAAACCTATGTGTTACAAACAAAAACAGAAATAGTACAGAAATATCACTTTTATTCTGAAACAACTCAGATATCTCAGAATTCATACGTACATCATCAATAAAAAAACATTATATGATTGAAAAATGCCCTCATATATAAACATTAAATTGTATATTTGTTATTTGTACACATTTGAAACCAAAATATGTAAAGAAAAATTTAATTTCTCCTACCTTGTGTATCAACATGTTTAGTACTAGTATAGAGGCCAAGGGCAATTCATTTTTTGGAGGAAAAAAGGTAAATTGTCAAGACTCTAGATCTATCAGAAAAAAGGAAATATATCATGGAATAAAAAAAAATGAATAACAATCATAATTATTTTTTTAACTATATAATTTATGGGAAAAAACTTGTAAAAAATTAAAAGTTCAAAATGATCCTTAATTTTATTTTATTTTGACAGATTATGTCTGTAGGTCATACACATTGTACATCCTTAATCAAACAGAGAAATGACAAATGTAACAATGTTTTGAAGCCATTCAAGCAGGTATTTGTTTGTGAAGAGCACAGAGGACTAAGAAAATTTAAATTTATTATGCACGACTTTAGAAGACCATGAGTAAAATCACTTATACAAAACAAAATTTTGACTTATTCTGTGAAATATCGTTTTTGCGAAGTAGATGAGCAAGATTTATCCCCACAATACATAACGAAACATAAACATGTTTGTCTCACAATTATAGCATGAGGCTCAGATCACAGAGTTAAGTGTTTTGACATCTACACCAGTCCTTGGGTCTACAGTTCTCATCATGCCACTCTGTTTATAAGTCTACATATCACATATCAGACACACACATTGACAAGACCAGCAGTGAGTTGTCTCCCCATTATCTATGTCTGAATCTGTCCCATTACTTTAACATCTGGAGCAACCTGAAATCAGATTAAGATTAAATAGAATTGTATGGTACTACTCAACACAAGACATGGATCTGCATATAAAAATAATTCATTTCAGTCTCTTGTGCAGTTCTTCAGAAAAATCTCAAATGGATATCACAGGATTATTTCAAATATGGCAAAGTTTACAAATTACATTAATTTTTTTTTTAAATTTAATTACCTCCACACATAGAATAGTTTGTCAATTAATTTTGCAAATTGTATTCACATAAATCATTTATTCATAAATGAAGCATAAAACACTACTTAAAGGCAATATCTGTTATTAAAAATTATGTATATTTGATTCATTCAATATTTTTTTTCAATTCAGTAACTTACACACATGGAATAGTTTAACGTTTAATTTTATTAATAATTTGAATTTTGTTTAGGAAATTCACATACATGTAACTGTAAACTCAGTTATCATAAGTAGTAGCTAATTTGCACATACCACAAATTCACAGTTGGTGGCACCAACAATGCTGGCGACATCTTCGTTTTCTGCGATCTCCGTTAAAATTAGTCCCTTTTCTGAGTCCACGTCAAACACACACTGAAATATAAAGGATTATAATCAAACACACAACTTGAATGATGAAGATCTCTCACTTTTTACCACAGTAGCTCCGTTTACTGATTAAGATTGACTACATCAGTGATTGTCCTACCTTGTCAGTGATGGTCATATCCACACAGTTTTTACCCGTCAGGGGCAGATCACAGCTGTTGACTATCTTACTGTTTCCTTTCTGAAATATATCAAAATTTAATAAACTTAAACTGAACCATAAACAAGCTATAAACTTATTGATAAGGTTTTAAATAAGCAAACGTAAGTCAAAATATTATACAACCTTGTCCTAGTGTTCCATGGTAACAATAACTTTAGTTTTGTGACTGGACACCAGATCCATAGCTCCACCCATTCCCTTGACCAACCGACCCTGAAATAATTATGGAGCACAGATTGGTAAAACAAGAAATCTGTTCATTAAATAAGAAACACACAAATTACCCGCCAGAATTGAAATATGAAACCAAAAAATTGTTTTTCTTCACACGGAATACCTGAAATTTTTATTTATAAATTATGATCAAAGTAAAACTTAATTTCCTGATATATGTTACCGTTTTTTTTTTTACCTCTATCCTCTTTTTCTGTTTATGTTTTACCTCTATCCTCTTTTCGTAGCTGGGACCTTTGATGAATCTCTGTACGTACACATGTGGAACGTGGACATCCTCTGGTGGAATTTCTCCGACTTCCACGATCTCCTCCACTTCTGCAATCATAATCCGCCCAGCCTTAATAATAATAATAATAATAATACTTTATTTAAAGAAGGTAACCTGATTAGTGTAACCACTATTCTTCCCCAGGACCTTCTGACAATTTACAATATAAATATACATAATTATACACATACATACATATGGGGTCATCAGGGGCGGGGGAGGCCTTCTCAAATATTCCTTGCAGCACGATTTTGAAGTTTATGAACTCTGTCAAAATTTGACTTGGAAATATTTCCCCAAATTGTAAGGCAGTAATCAATGGTAGGCATGATGTATGCATTATAAAACAACTTGCGTGTTTGAAGGGGAAGACATTTTTAAATTTTATAGAGTGCAGAAATTTTACGTGACAGAGTTTTACAAACATGGTCGATATGTACATTGTATTGTAAAGAATTATCTAAATATACCCAAAGATTTTTTTTCATATGTTACACTGTCTAATTTCTGGTTCGAAACGTATAAAGGAAAATCATGGTCTAACTACTAGTATTTTGATCTCTTCTGATGTGTCCCTATTAACATGCTTTTAGTTTTTGAGACATTAAGTATCATTTGATTTTGAGTGCACCATTTTTCTATACAAGTAATATCCATTGATAATTAATATACTATAGATTGGGAATCTTTGTCGGGGAATGTACAGTGGCATCATCGGCAAACAAATCTTTGTTTGAATTTTTTATATAAAGTGGAAGATCATTAATGTACAGTAAAAACAAAAGCCTTACACATTTGGGGGTTAAAGTAACGACTTGTCTTTCTACAGAAAGAAAAAATAGCTTACTCAAATACTTTCCTCAGCCTTATAAACCAAGCTGTGCATCTTGACATACTGTCTAGTGTCTTGACCTACATATTTAAGGTACTGGAGTTGCCTTTGTAGACATACTGACCTAAAAGTGAGTTTTCCCACTTTATCTGTCTTCTGTGCTTTGATCTACTTACCTAAAGGTGAGGTTTCTCACTTTGTCAGCCTTGTGTTCCTTGATCTACTAAACTTGTGTGCTTTGATCTACTAACCTAAAGGTGAGGTTTCCAACTTTATCTGTCTTGTGTGCTTTGATCTACTGACCTAAAGGTGAGGATTCCCACTTTGTCTGCCTTGTGTTCCTTGATCTACTAACCTTGTGTGCTTTGATCTACTAACCTAAAGGTGAGGTTTTGCACTTTTTCTGCTTATGTGCCTTGATCTTCCTATGCAAAGGTGAGGTTTCCCACTTTATCTGCCTTGTGTGTGCTTTGATCTACTGACCTGAAGGTGAGGTTTCCCACTTTATCTGCCTTGTGTGCCTTGATCTACTAACCTAAAGGTGAGGTTTCCCACTTTGTCTGTCTTGTGTACCTTGATCTACTGAGCTAAAGGTGAGGTTTCCCATTTTGTCTGCCTTGTGTGACTTGATCTACAGACCTAAAGGTGAGGTTTTCTACTTTTTTGCCTTGTGTGCCATGATCTACTGACCTAAAGGTGAGGTTTCCTACTCTGTCTGCCTTGTGTGCTTTGATCTACTGACCTGAAGGTGAGGTTTCCTACTTTGTCTGTCTTGTTTGCCTTGATCTACTGACCTAAAGGTGATGTTTCCTACTCTCTCTGCCTTGTGTGTTTTGATCTACTGACCTGAAGGTGAGGTTTCCTACTTTGTCTGTCTTGTTTGCCTTGATCTACTGACCTAAAGATGAGGTTTCCCACTTTATCTGCCTTGTGTGCCTTGATCAGTGCAAAGTCACCAGTGATAGCTTCCTCCATTATGTACTTGAATACTTTGAATTCTCTTACCCGAAATAAACAAATAAATCATTGTTTTCAATCCAAACACAAGTATTGTAAGAGAAGTGGAAGTGTGCTTTTATATAATGATATCATTTGGATTTTTCTTATCCCCCTTCATCAATGATTCAGAGGTATATAGTTTTTTTGCCCTGTCCGTTTATCTACATGTTTGTTAGCAAAAAACTTAACATTGCCCAACTTTTGAGTGGGTGAGAATATGGAATTTATATTTCGCAAGTCAATTCCTTGTGACAAGACCTTTCTTCCGTTTCATCAAATTTGATTTCCTAACCTTGACCATGGAATTTGACCTGCTAAATTTTTTTTTTCTTTTTTTTTAAATTTATTTTCAATTCTTCATACAAACAAACAGTGAAATATATATAACAGGCAAATTACATTACAAACAATATAACAATATTACCTTCAAACAATTTATGCAAAATTTTTAAAAAGTTTGTAGTCATGTGATTTCAAATTTTTCAGAATGGAAGTATAGAAAAAAATTGAAAATTTTACGTGATTGAAGATGTTATAACTAATTTCATCTAAGGAATTTACTGTAAATGTATTATATTTGGCGTGTACGATATTTGGCGGAAATTCAATTTTCAACAAGTTAGCGTGGATTTGATTTAGCGCTGTCTGAATTTGCTGGTTATAAGAGTTAATATTCAAGACATTTAGCGATGTACTTGAATTATCGGACTCTGCTTTCCGCCAAAATCGCTAAATAGAATACACCGCTAAATGTAATACGTTTACAGTATTCGACAGTACATCTTATATTTGTAAATTCTACAGGCAACATAAGAGATGAGTGTGTTAAGTGATACAATTTTTCTATTGCGCTCAGAGCTAAATCTAATTATTACATGTTTCTATTTGATATCTATTTTCAGGTACAAACTTAATCTGTTCCATATTACAGCAATATTTCTACATTCAAAAATGAGATGTTTTGAAGTTTCATTCACGTGGCATAATTTGCAATGACCACTCGTTTCTTTTTTCCATTTACTGAGATAGAAGTTATTACAAAGAATATTGTTTAAAAGTTTATAGTTGAATTCTGTAAGTAGTTTATCGGGTATGTCATATAATTTACATTGATATATATTTTTCGATTCTGAGGGTTCAACGCTGAATTCTTTGCTTAAAACTATTTGATAACATGGTTTACAAAATTTTCTGTGTACAAGATTGTCATAGAAAAAGTTATATCTTTGATCTATGATATTAACATATCCTGTGTAGAAAAGAAAATAATTTTTGTATCTTATGTAAAGAAACTAACAATTTGAAAAATCATACTTTAGTAGCAAAGGTTTGAAAACAGAAGGAAGAATTTTAAATTCACACAACCAGTTTGACTTGTTTTTTTTTTTATACAATTAGAAAAATTAAAATTACCATCATCGTCAAATAAGTCTTTAACATGCAAAATCCCACTGCCTATCCAATTTTTAAAAAATAATGTATTTCCCCTATAAACAAAGTTACAATTGTTCCATATCGTCTGTCGAAGAACATTATCGGAAGACATTTTGTTAAAAAAAACAGGGCTTACATTCATTTAAGCAACATAACATTTGTTCATAAAATATAGGTAGTTTCTCTAATTTTTCCATATTTTCTATTTTTCTGTCAGAAAAATCTAACACATAGAGAACATCAAAATTTGATTTTTTACAATAGCCATCAAAAATGTTGTACAAAATACCTTTGCTTTTTAACAATCTAGGTACCCAAGCTGCTTTTAAAGCTTTTAATTTACATTCAATATCAACGATTGAGAGGCCACCTTTTGAAACTCTACCTATAAGCGTGTTTCTTTTAATTCGTTCATTTTTATCCCAAATGAAGTTATAAATTAGACGTTGTATTTTTTAAATGTAAACATTATCAGGAAGACTAAGTATTGAGGCAACGTATGTAAGTTTAGATATAGCAAGTGTCTTAACTATACATGATTTACCAAATAACTTTAGTTTTCTTCTTTTTTAAGATTCAAAAAGTTTTTCAATATCGTGATAAATTTTCATCCAGTTTTTAGTGTAACATTCTTCCTTATCATGCCCTTTGAATATTCCCAAACATCTTACTGCTTTATTCGTAATTTTTTTTACCGTAGAGTTCATCATATAAATTTTTTAGTTCCTATAGTAAAATGCATTCTGTCTTATGCATGTTTACTTTTGATCCTGCATGTTCACAGAATTCTTGTAATTTATCCAGAGTTCGCTTCATTGATATTTTATCCCAAAAACATTGATAAAATTCACTAGGAAGGCCATCTAGTCCAAGTGATTTTTCTTTTTTCATACTATCAACAGCTTCCTTGCACTCTTCATATGTTGGAAATTTTTCTAACAATATCTTATCTTCTTCACTAAATTTAGGGATATCGTCTATTTCAGATAAATATTTGTCTATTTTTTCGTTTGAAATTTCTTTACTCGTATATAGTTCTCTATAAAAAGTATACATTTCACCTAATATAATTGGTTTTACTGATTTTATTTCCTTCTCTTGTTTTTATTTCTTTAATTACGTTTGATGATTGATTGTGTTTTTCTAAATTTAAAAAAAAAATTGAATTTTTCTCCCCCTCCTCTATCCATCTAATTGCTAATACAAAAAAATCAAACTTTATCCTTGGCCCTAACATTTGAAGAGTTAACACTGTGCTTTAATGTTTCACATGTGTATGCCTTTTGTCAAAATCTTTCTTTGGATACCAAGAATTTTGACCTTTTGACATTGACCTAAAAGTTTGACCCACTTTTTAAAAACTTTAAACTTTTGAATAGTAAACTCTTGGAATTTTACTGATGTGGTCATTGTGCCAAGACCTTTCTTTGAAAACAAACATGTTTGAT